AACTTGTATTTTCTCTTTCAAATCTTCTTCAACCTAGCTATGATACTTGCACAGGTTGACTATCCTTCCTTTCAGGTAAAAACCAGTGCCAATAAAGGCTATGAGACTAGAGTCTATGTAGTACTCCTTATGTACTTGAAGTGTTTACATCAGGATATGGTTCAACTTTCTTAAAACCTGGTTCAACCAACTACATATAAACTGGAAAATAAAATAACTTCTCTAAAATAACAAATATCAAAGTGAAAAAGTATGAAAGTATCTAAAATAAGGATATCAGTTCTCTTATACTTTTTTTTGAAACAAAAGATATAAAAAAAGAGAAATTGAAAAAAGTGCTTGTATAAGGATGAAACATGTACTGAAAAGTTCAGTGCAGCAGACTGAGATAAATACTAAGAAGATAGAACTCCTCAGATAGGCTGTCCAGCAATGATTGTCTTCAGAAATAATGTGAGATTTTTTCCAAGAAGGAAATAGGTTAAACAATGGTCTACTGTACTACAAGATTGAACTAGTATACCATAATGGCTGATAATACATAATATAGTACAAATAGGCTCAAACCAGGTCCTTAAAACAAGTAAAACCTGATATCTATCTAGTTAATAACAACAACAAATTTAAATAAAAAAAAAGCACTTAAAGAAAGCTACTTCTGAGAAGAACAAACAAGTGCTACTTTTTTTTTTAATTAAGTGTTGTAGGCAAGAGGAGATAGATAGTAAAAGGTGAAAATTTGGGTGAGAGTGAAACAAGGAATAGAATCTACCTAGTACCAGACTGAAAAATACTGTAGAGTAGGAATGATCAAAACATAATGGCATCAAGGACAATCATAATAGTTAGGGAAAATAAAACAACAAACACAATTACAATTTATAGTCAATACAAATATGCAGTATAGAAGGGTTGTAAATCTATTTCTGATTCATCCTCTATTTTCTCTGCTTCCCCTAACATATCATTTCATCTTAGTCATCCTGTCTTGGCCATTCTTGGCCCAAACCCGATCGGTTCCGGTCGGTTGCCATGGGATTCCCGTTTCATCGGAGGACCCATCTTCAGGCACTTTGCACCATACTCTAGTGGTTTGGTCTCAGCATCGGCAACTCCGGTCACTTCAGCATGTGTTTCATCACTGGTCCACATTTTAGATCAGTTGCACTATAGTTCGTCAGTCTATTCCCGGCGAGAATTGTGCCTGCCAGCCCTAAGCTAACCCCAGCTCCGACCTCCACCCTGACCCCGACTCCGACCCCTGACTCCGACTCCAATCCCGACTCCGACCCGACCCCGACCACGACCACGACCCCGACCACGACCCCGACCCCGACCCCGACCACGACCCCGACCACGACCCCGACCCCGACCACGACCACGACCCCGACCACGACCACGACCACGACCACGACCACGACCCCAACCCCGACCCCGACTCCCACCCTAACTCTAACCGGAATATGGCTGGTCTCGGTACTGTGGTTCATTACAACGTCTTAGATGAGGGCATCACAGGACCGCCGGGGATCATGTCGGGGAAACTGGTGTGCGAAGTCTGCGGGGCTTGTCGCAACCTGGAAATGCCGGTAGAGTCTGCTCATTGCAACCGGTAGCTGCACCTGCTCGGTTTAAGAGTAATCTCTTGCGGGACGTGTGCCATCACAACGTAAGGTGACAAAATTGGACTCTGTTTGGTCCGCCATCGATAGAGTTGTTCGTCAGGTCGAAGGGCTTTTTGGAGCTGTTGCCTTTTCAAACAATTTGCTTAATACGCCCTTGGTTAAGGGTTAGAAACTGTTGCTTTAATTCTGTAACCCTTCATACCGGGCTGAAACGCGTTTTGAACCGACGAACGACTCAACAGACCGCGAGCCAAACACAACTTTATCATCTATTTTACGTCAACTAACACTCGTTTGCGGACATCCCTTGAATAACCAAAGCAACAGAGAGTTAGGGGGAGAAAATGTATGAGATTCAAAGCACCCGAGGACCTTATCCATATCGGCCCGCGGTTCCCCAGGATATCCCGTCATTGCTGGTTTGTTCAAATTCGAGGGTCTCTACAGGGCCCCTCATTCTGTTTTAGACTCCCACAGACCTTTGCTGACCTCCACCGCTGCCAGAAGGAAAATCCGATGTCCGCCACTATCGCCTGTAGTCCTTGTACTGGGACTGCCAAACAACGTTTCGCCTTGCCCGGCCTGTGGTTCTCGCCAGAACCTACCGTCCTCAAATATCGCGGGACTAGACGGACCGCTAGTAGTGACCCCGTACCGTCTGGTCTCCTTGACAGTGCTCCCAGTGGGGCCCCCAGGTTGTTGTGGGCACTTCGGACCGGGCACCCGCCTCACAGATAGTCACTCTAGTTCACGGACCGGTGAGGGGCCGAGATCCTCCAGACGATTTCAGAAAGAGCTGTTATACCTAATAGGGAAATATGTGCAAGGCTTTGCAGTTTTCTCTACCCACATGGGCCGGGCTCCCGGCGGCCGATGGAAAAAAAAAAAGGTGGGAAGATGATACTCAGTTGAGCAGTGGGTCCAGGGTGAAAAGGGGAGGTTTGATTGTCTAAGCTCGTCCAGAGAAATAACTTCTCACAATGTTTCTTGCTAGCACCCGGGTAGAGCAGTGCCTGGTGGCTCCGCAATCGCCATTTCTCTCAAATGGCGCACGGCAAATCCCCCTCCAGCCCTTCAACCATCTACCGAGTGCGATCCAGTGACTCTGTCACCCGCGGAAGCACAAAACAGAGCATTTCGAAACGTACCGGTAACAAAAAAAAATTTCTCCAACTATTTGTCGAACATTCACCGCTCCGACCGATCCACCCCCCACGATTCGTCCAATCTGGTTTCCTCCAACATGCCGCGTAACTCGCTGCACAATCGCCTCTATCCAGGGTCTTCGACGAGGCAGTCTGTCCGTCAGCAGTCGACCGATCATGGTGGCAGCCCGCAGTGGAGGACAGGTGCCATCCCATCCGGTGTTTTTCCAAATCTGCCCGGCTGAGGATCCGTATAGTGAACCAGGGTGGAGAATATGTTTCAAATGTTAAGTGTGCGAGAACGCATCTCCAAAGCCTGCTTCGAACATATCGGTTTTCCGCTTTGCCAGCCCCCCCAGAGCTTATGTGAATCAAGTGAGGGCTGTATGTTTATGGAAAATATAATTGGCTTCCTATACCTAGATTCCTCCTCATTTTCATCTAACCTATTCCCCGATCCTCGATCCCTCATGAGTCCAGCCAATTTTAAGAGCAAAGTGGAATTTGTGCTAGGCGCACTTCTGCGAGTTAGCCCCGCAAAGGTACGTACAAACAGCTTCCTGGGCATGGGAAAATTCAAAGTTATCAAATGTCTTTCTCCCTTGCCTACTAGTACCTCCACGATATATGCAGGGTAGTCTTAGAGATACTAGTCCCTCTCTATCCTTTCCTCGCCAATTTGAAAAGAAGAATGAGATCGTTTGAAAGGCTCGGGGATCTGTCGGCTCGCGGTGCTCGAGCCTTCGAGCTGCTCGGCTCGTAAAAAAACACTAGGTAGTCCTGTATGGGCAACGCGATTCCTGCGGTCCCCCACAGTCCCCCGTGCTAACATGTCTTAAATTGCAGGGCCCGCACTTCTGGCACTTGAAAGGCAAGAACATACCACATTTTGCCGTCCCGTCCCGAGCTCTTGAAGGTCGCCTAGCCGGTCACTACCCGCGCCCCGGACGGTTGAGACTATTGTCTCTATTAGAGCCCCATGTGGTAGAAACTCGTTCGGTTTAACAATCCATGCGAATACTCTTGACAGCGGGGAAGAAGCCTGAGGTATCCTTAGACAACAGCGATACCTTTCCCGGTCCCCATTACAGTTGGCGCCACTATCCCGGTATGTGCAGACTTGATCAAACCCCAGCTCGTTGGTCGGATTCTAGAGCATTCAGATGATTTTGGATGAGCGGGAGAGGAGATGAAGGGGCTCACTTTTGCAATGCCGCTTACTGGCTACCGGGAGGACCTTGTCTCCGATGTTCGGGGTAGTGTGGATGAATTGAGAACTTGGAGTCTGCACAGCGTGGAGGGCTTCGCTAATTGAATCCGAGCACCCAACGCCGGTGCGAGAGTGGAATTCCTAGGTTAGGGCTGCAGAACTGACTTCAATGCTAGAGCCTTCCGCTGGAGCTGGGCCCACTCGCACAGTGGCAGGCATGATAGAAGAGTGTTCTTACGTGGATTGTATCCTAGAGGTGGACTGTGTGGAGTTAATTAAGAGAGCGGTTCCTTAGGGGGTTTATTTATCGTATCCACCATCTAGTGATATCTACAATCAAGTTCCCTTCTCGATATATACCTCCAATTGAAATTAACTCCTTACCTATTGGGTGAACTCCAAATCCCAGCACCATAACCCTCGTATCGTCTCAGCTTAAATGCCTTCCCAGCTGCCAGGGACTCCTACCTCGAGTCCAATGCTAATTCTGGTGTGGGACATGCAATTTGATGACCAATAGAAGGGGAGAAGCTCTAGAAAGGCAACTCATAGATTCCAATTGTATGCACAACGATAGCAGAGTGAGTAGAAGCGATGTCCTTGTAGACATTTTTTTTTCTTTTTCCCCCCTCCTCCCCTCTCATAAAGTGGAGTGATTAGTAGAACGTAGATGAACTTACATTTCCCTAATTCCCATCTTTGAGAGCACTACACACAATCCCCATACCGTATCTACAATGATAATTGAACCGCTCGTTAAGACACCCAAAATTCTCTCTCTTGGATGAGGGGGCCAAAACACTACAGATACACCCCCCCCCCCCTCAGTCCCAGCTTACGACGAGGCAAAAGTGAAAGGGTGCCGCACTTTACCAGCAAAGGCAACTCCAACGTCCTGGCGCGAAGTTCAGTTGTTCCCACAAATCCGGTAGACTATGCGCTTTCCGCGTCCGAGCAGATGCACTTATCATGTCAACGCTACGGAGCACGTATCCTCCACAGGTTTTCATCACCGCCCATACTAAGATTTTGCGCAAAAAAGCACTTTTATTGTACCTAAGTACAGAGTAGAGACTATGAAGTCATGGACAGAAAAAAAGGAAAAGAGAGGATAGCGGTTAGTTTCGCAAGGCATGGAGGAGAAACCGAAAAAGAGAGCGGAGGGGGATACATGGGTGTAGAAATGAGAAGAAAGAAACAACCCAGAGAAAGAAACAGCAGGTACTCAAAAAAACATCGGGTACTCAAAAACAACCGGAAAGTATGAGTACTGGACGAGCACCGTACAGAGATTGTGTTTCCACTCCAAAGGATACATGGGTGTAGAAATGAGAAGAAACAACCTAGAGAAAGAAACAGCAGGTACTCAAAAAAACATCGGGTACTCAAAAACAACCGGAAAGTATAAGTACTAGACGAGCACCGTACAGAGATTGTGTTTCCACTCCAAAACCCACATACACACACACACACATACACACACATTATAATCCCCTACCGCCGTCCATGCCAAACCAACACAATCCCCAAAGCCATTAGATGAAAGGTTCTGACCGCTGAGGAGCGAAGCCTTGTTTCGACACCGTGAGGATGTGTTCCACGTACTCCAGATTCTGGCGGTCATATTCATTGTCGGCGGCAAGTCTAAGCTCCCTCGAATCGGGTTCGTCGTCTTCGTCGGTGACAGGGTTATGGCCAGCATTTCTAGCAGCAGTAGCACTCTCTTCGGCGAGGGCGAGCTCAAAGGCCTGATTTTCAGCCATCCTCCAGATATGTTCGTGGTTCCACACCATAGTGCCAACTTCGATCCCGTCGCGCCTTTTGAAATACTCAATGGCCCCATCTAGGAAAAGCCGTTCCTCGCGTTGCATGTTATTGATAGCCGCGATCCAATGTTCGTGAGGACGATCGATGGCCGTTTCCTCGGGGTGTCGGTTGAAAACAGTAAGATTGACACCATTGGTGGAGTAAGCTAGCAGGCTTGCCTGTCCCGGGTAAGCGGTCGTCGTCGGAATAGCTTGCTCCATACGTCTCCAGAAATAGTGTCCATAGTCAGAATCGTTCGAGGCCAGAATCGCTCGGAGCTGGATCTGCACCTCAGTATTCGGAAGGCGATGCAAGAATCTCTCTTCGATAGTCGTAATCAATTTCCCCGCGTTGGGCTCACATATGGCAACAGTGGTAGGAAGTTCAATGATGACGGACTCCAGTTTCTTCCAACCGGCTTCAAATAACTCAGAGCAACAATGTGCCCCTGGACCTCTGATATGAAGATATTCAAGAGTGTTGAGGAAAGTAGAGCCTTCCTCGACCACCTCAGGCTCCCCCTCACGGACATGCCGCCGCCCGGTCAGGAGGGTGCACAGATGTCTGTCTGCGCACCGAGCTTGAAAGTAACGAAGGCTTCGCATAGGGGAATCCTCTTCAGTGAATTCAAAAGGCACGGACAGAGTCAGAGCGGTAAGATTAGAAAATCTAAGATCCGAGTCTATAGGCCTAGGCATAAAGAGCCAGGGATTTGCTACTCAATAGATTAGTTAAGACTTCTTCCCTGAGATTAGTATTTTCCAGGAAACTTACCCCAGATGTGTCCTGAAATTACGAGATTCTCAACATTTGATGGCTTACCCGACTTGCCCAGAATCCTGTGGAGAAGGTGAGTTGCAGGGAGACGATAATAAATTGCGTTCAAGGACTTCTCCCGAGGATCATGAGGAAGTTGTCTGCGGTCAAAAGAAGAAACCCAGTGAGCAACATCGGACTTGTGGATTTTGGAAACACCCGGCCCCAAGATCAATGTTTTTGCACGATCAAGAAAGGATCCAGGTTCAGGGTCTGTTTTAGTATCTTGGTTAGCTTCACAAACTGTATATTATGACTATTGTATTCAATAGAGCTAGGAAGGGAAAAAGAAAAAGAAAAAACTCACAGTCATCCAACTCAGCATCCATGCCTGCACCATCACTATTTTCATCAGATCCATCACTATTCTCAATAGACTCAGATAGGTCATCAACAATAGACCCAAAATCAATAATAGAGCCATCAAGAGAACCATCCATAGAGCTGTCGCTATGGTTGAGATGCCCTCTGATATTAGGACTACCTCCCCGAACCCAATCCGGTATAGAAAACCAATCACCTGCCTCGGATTCCTTTGAAGCATGACAGATACCCGACATAGGAGTATCCACAGAGCATGGCAAGGGACGTTTCCACCAAGGCCCCTCGCCATGCCAATCGAAATAGTATGCAGTGCCAAGAATCTCATCAGTGGCCCAACCATTCTGATTCCCACATCCTGGTCCTGGGAGATAATATTTGACTCCAAAGGTGTAGATCTTTGCAGGCTTGTCAGACACCAACTTCTCCGTAGATGAATTAAAACTGAAACCATGACAACGCTTCTCAAAGAGCAACAGGCGTTGCAAATTGAACTGTCCATCAATATAAACCATACCCCTTATCATGTATCCAGCTACCATAATATACCACGCCTTTGAAACCAGAAGAGAGGTATAGAGAGAATCCTCAAGCTCGTAGGCGATAGCATGATCCAACAAGCGAGAAGGCTTAGCCTGTTGCCTCAGGTCCCGGGTAATTGGTATACGCCCCGTCTCCTTAATAGTAGAGAGATGGGGAGAACACATATGGATGTATTCTTCGATAATCTTCACCTTAATCTCATTAGGCAACTTAGTAAATTGAAAAGCTCCAACAAAAGTATTGCCAGAGACCCAGCTAGTCTGCTGAACAAACAAACTTGTCTTCGCAAATATCCCCCCTGCGATAGGAAGTTGGCTACTCATATTCTGTATAGAGTTGAGTATTGTTAAAGGCTTTCGAAAAAATAGAGGAGTATTTTCTGAAGGAGTTGGAACCGATATCGAGAAGGGCGATAGTGCTGATAGGTGACTGGGGGAATTGATTGATTGTTGTGTATCAGTTGAAGAACTGGAAGCCTGAGACTCAGAAGGATTGTGGAGAGGATTTTGAGTATTGTCGTTGTGGACTTGAAAGAACTGATCGCAGTTGTTCATCTTAGTGGGAGTAGGATAGATAGCTTTATATATAAAATTCTGGTAGAAAAAACAGTTGATGTTAATGTTTTTGTAAGTCAATAGTCAGAAAGGAGGCTGAATATGGATAGGATGAGATTAAATAGCTTCAATAGTAGACAAACTTTGATGGGAGGGATTATAATAGAGATTGATTGCCTCCTATTGGGTATACCAATCAAGAAGAATCATAGAGTACAGGAAGTATGAATAAAAGGAGATGGTACATACCTGTGTATTAATAAAACAATTGTTTTATTAAACAAAATAATATAAAGCTATTCCACCTAATCCCCCTCAAGTTTGTTGAATGTAGCACAACTTGAATGGAGTAGATGTAGTCAATAGGTATCAAGAAAGAGAATGTATGTGTAGGATGCCAGTGCTATGAGGGAAGGAAGAGGCAAGAGAGGTTCAATGGAGGTGGGTTGCTGTGAGGGAAGGAAGAGGTGAGAGAGGTTCAATGGAGGTGGGTTGCTGTGAGGGAAGGAAGAGGTGAGAGAGGTTCAATGGAGGTGGGTTGCTGTGAGGGAAGGAAGAGGTGAGAGAGGTTCAATGGAGGTGGGTTGCTGTGAGGGAAGGAAGAGGTGAGAGAGGTTCAATGGAGGTGGGTTGCTGTGAGGGAAGGAAGAGGCAAGAGAGGTTCAATGGAGGTGGGTTTATATGAGAAAGGAAGAGGCAAGAAAGGTTCAATGAAGGTAGAATACTATTGAGCTAGCTTGCTTGGGGTGAAAGGGTTTTATCAAACATGTTTCTGGGCAGGGTATACAACATTTGGCCACACTGTAGTGTCAGGGTGACAAAAACAGGTCAGTATGGGGGGACCCTATCTGTTTCATCTCAAAGGCCTAAGACCTGACAAACTACACTACACTCGCCGATCAGGAAATTTCCAGCCCCCCTTTGACCAAATATCACGCGACGGCTCGACCGGGGCCATAGGATTCAATCGGACTCGGGTTGCTTCAGGCACGGTTCATACACCCACAGTGTTGAAAATCTCAAACGAAATGCCGAAGGGTCAATGATCGATAATGAGATTTTAAGGAGGGATATGCGGAAGAATGATGGAAGATAGATGGGTTAGATACCGTGGAGACTCAAAAAATTTGAACTGTGTGGTATGCCGTTGAAGTTGCCTCCTCTGGTATGGTCTGCTGTTTCTTTCTTGTTTTCTCTCATGTCTCTCGGGAGGGCTGAAGAGCTCGTTTTTTTTTGCTGTGTTTTTTGCCCCTTTCCAAAGTAGGGAATTCTCAGCCTCATAGTGCACGGTTTGATTACTGGCGGTTTCTCTGGTATGATATACAGAGAATGGAGTCGGGAGACGAGAAGGCTATGTGCAAGAGAGGATAGGGAGCAGACCGAGGGGATGAATGAGCGGACTAAGGAGGTTTTTATGCCTGCACGAGTCCACAACTCTAGTGCGCAATTATCTATGACAAGCATATTCGACATACAGCACTGTCAGTTTATGCGAGTGATATTCCATGAAGAAGAATGTGCCCTGAAGCCAATACGGTAAGCGGTCAATATGGTCTAGCAAAGTATCTTGAGCGCTTAACCATTCAATTGATTGCAATCCACCCAGTGGGTTCGGGTGGGGTGCCGGGACCGAGGGCCAAGGCAAGTGAGATTTTATAATAATTAGTGGGTCCGGGACCAGTGTTCCCCACGAGCCGGGCCAATTTGGCTCGGCCCGACAACAAATGGGCTCAGGACGCTCGAGATTTCAGGTAAGGTTCGAGCCAACTGGAGACTGGTTTCACTAATAGTCACCCGACACCTCTGGTTAAACTAGCTATAGGGGATCCGTATAGCGAACCTGAGTGGATGATATGTTCCAATGTTAAACATACAAAACAAATCTTTAAATTCTGCAGTGAACACATTATTTCCCGCCCAGCCCCCTTCACCTGTAGCAATCACTCGAGGGTCATAAGTTTATGGAATATCTAACTGACTTTCTCTACTTGAAATTCCTCATTAGCAACCTAATTCCCGATCATCAACCTTTCACAATCCCCGGTCAGGCCACCAAAGGCGTGTGTGCAAATGGCTTCCTGGGCATAGAGGAACTTAAAGTTATTAAATTTCTTTTCCCCCTACCTACCAAGACCCATGCGACTCATACAAGGTATTCTCATACTAGTCACCTCCGATCTCTTCCCATCTTTTCGTGGATCCGGAAAGAAGGACGGTTTCGTTTGAGAAAGCTCGAGCGAGCTCGGTTCGGATGATATTTCAGCTCGTAGGAAACACTATCCGGGGCCGGTGGTCTGGCGAGTTGAACCGCGGGTGCAAGGTGGGAAATTCAGCTGAAGGTATGGTAACGGGAGGACAGAGGTGAGAGCCTTTGGAATAGGGGCGGGGGTCGAAAGTTAAGCGGTCGGTCGGTCGGGATACACCGGTACTGATGACAGATACCGGTATTCTTGTGGTTGCACGAGACAGCGCTGGCCAGGTGTTACTATTGGGGGTGGTCGCTTGGATGAGGGGGAAGGGGATGGTTCCGTGCTAGCATAACCTGCGTTCTCCTAAAGGAACAGGCTATGGTGGAATCCGTCGCAATTAACACAAGGCCCCGAATGGTGCGGTCTACCGGTACTCGCATCTTACCGATATGGCGGATGATGGAAGTGTGAGCGCAACCCCACTCAAACCCAATCGTATTGCGGCTGTTACGGCTGATGACAACGCGGCGCAAGGTCCCTATCGTAGAAGCCTTATCGGATTATCAGCGGAAATCGGCCCGTCGGGCCGGGATGGGATTAGTTTGACAGATTAACAGCACTGCGAGCACAAGAACTCGAGTGCCCGTTAGTGAGATCCAACACACCATGAGGGCTGATCCTGCACTGCGTCAGGGAGAGGCCAATCCCTGTCAGGGGCTTTTGCCTCCGAGCGCGGAGCTGACTGGGCTGACAGAGATTGGATTTCGAAGGATTCCATGGTGGGCATACTGTACGAGTGGGTCGTGGCAGGATGCTGTACTCGTACCGGTATTATTGACACCACGATAGCATGCGGTGCGGTATGCCAAGTCAACCTAGATATGCAGAGACCGCTCCTCCGAGCTGCGGGAGCACACAAAAGCACTTGACCTCCAGCACCGGTAGGGGTACCCTATCATACGAGTATATTCCTTTGCACAGCGAGCCCGGATCAATAACCTTTATTCACCCTCCTCCACGGTACAAGTGCGGCCGCCCCGACGGATGGATGGATGGATACTGACTTATGTCGGACAGTATCGGCCTGTGTACCATACCGCACCAGGTAGAGGACAACAGGGTACATGACAGAATAGCACAGTCTACGTACAGTAGCCCGAGGGGTCGGTGCATGAATCTCTCTCTCCACCTTTAGCATTAGAGCAGTCACCCATACAAATAGCATAGATTGCTTACCCTTTCATTAGGTTACCGGTACCGTACTCTACCGTTGCTATACGAGCACTCGAGAAAAACATCATAACCTGCCATCTCATCCACCCACCCATTGAGATTCAAACTGAAAAATAAAATAAAAAGAGCCACGTGTTTTGAACCATTCATTATCCTTCCCTCCACCTTGCTCTCCAAGCTTATCGGTATCAAATGGGAATGCGTGGTTGTTTGAGAGTGGCAAAACTGTGGATTACTGGTATGCCGTTCCGATTTTGATTTTTTTTTTGATCATTCGAGTTTCGCAGAGAAAGATACGAGTATCGTACCCGGACTGTACAGTACAAACATGATCGAGTAAGGTGAGTGAGCGCGGGGGGTTGGCTTACCACTGCCGGCTGAGGGGGGGCTTTGATTGGCAAAAGGCTGGCGAGGGAGGGGAGCTTTTGGTCGGGTTCTGGGCTTTTTGTGCTTCGTGTGGATGAGTGTTTGCTCGAGTCCGGTATGGTATTGGATGCGCACGGTCGCAGTTGACGAGCAGCGCTTGTTTTGTTTTTTTTTCTTTTTCTTTTCTTTGGTGGGTTTAGGAGCGACTTTACTCGTGGCATGTTGGAGCACTTGCACGGTGGTCTGGTGAGTAAAGCTATCGTACTGCAGTGTACTGCTGCCGGTATGGTATCATACTCGAGGACGGGTACGGTATGATACTTTACCCTTGGGGAAGAGAAGAATCCGCTCTTTGCAGAAACTGGGGAGTCTCTCTTCCATGGTGCACCCAATGCCGTGTTACAACTTGCCAGGCTCGATGAAAATTCAGCTGGTCAAATTAGGCAGGGACCCCTCCTCACTCAAGGAGCCGCACTGAGCACTCGAGTACAGACTCTACGGTACTTGGGTACCGGTACTGTAAAGGAGGGCAGGGTTTGAATCTCGGGAGAGGGAGAAAAAAAGGGAAAGGGGTCTGGAAACTCCAGTGTGGGGACTGAGACATTCGAGTGTAACCGGGGAAGGTTGAGAGTTCTGAGGTGATTGATGAGAGCGTTGGCGGTGGTGGATGGGTGGGAGGCGAGATTAAAATTACCGGTACGAGCACTGTACCTTTGAAGAGCGAAAAGTGTGGGTGGAATTCTTCTCTTCTCCACACTTGTTGAAGCTTTGAGGGAGGCCTTCCTGCCTGCCTGCCCTGCCCGGTGCTGGTGGCCGCTGGTGAGGAGGGACTCGCCTTAGAGCAGCGGCAAGGTGAGATGAAAAAGCTGCACAGGCCAGATTGGATCTAGTGCAGATTGCAGTCTGGAAACTGGTGATTGAGGCACCCCAGCACCACCAGGACATGATACAGTAGGATGGACCACTTGGACGAGACGCTCC